TCTTCTAGACTCTGATTCACAAATTCCAGGTTTCGTAAATAGGTTCGAAATCTTTGGCATTCTATGAATGATTCTGACCGAGTTCGTAGTCTGATATTTTGATAATCATTATATCTGATTATTTCAAGTAAGTTATTTCTAAGCTAAATTTTTTTATAAATTTAAGTTAGTAATATTTTATTAATTAATTTAATTTGAATAAAGGCATTACCTTAAGGAACTTTTTGCAATTATGTACAGCGATTTTCCAGTGATGATATTGCGGAATCAGAGGTATTAAAGTTTTTAAGGTCTTATTTACCTCCTCTAAAATTGCATCTAGCCCTTGATATGGTTCATAAATTCCCGACCTAGAAATAATACAATTTTTCTCTATAAGGTCACGTACTTCTAGACGAAGCCGCATTAACTGAACTTCATCAGCAACTTCAATTAGGCGTAAATAGAATGCTACTTTGCAGATCAGACAGAGGAAAATATTCTTTTGGCAGCTTTCTTTAATAAAGGATTATTGGTTCTTATAGCTTTCCGATAGTTAATTATTGCTTAAAGATAAACAAAAGTCTATTATAATAAATAATAAAATAAAATTAATATTGGTAAAAATAAAAAGAGTTTAATATTGACCTGTTCGTATTTTATCTGATAAAGTGATTCTTGTTATTCTTTGGCTTACACAAGATATCCCTCTACTGATAAATCAGAATTGTCTTTTACGTATGGTCATATAAGTTCCATAGAAATTGTCTGACGATATATATTGCAAATAGAATCCCAAGATTTATAGTGGTCCGCACATTTCTTGAAATAGGAAAGCTGATTATCCATCTGATAGCCTTGGCACATTGCAAATCATTTTATATCAATTTCCCTAATATAAATTAAGTAAAAATAAATAAAAGAAATAATGAATAAATTTTTTAAATTATACTTACTAGTTTAACTTTACGAACGCTCAAAGCATATTCATTTCTTCATGCAATTGTCCTAGTATAAGTATTAGCTAAGGAAACTTTTCTCTCAATTTTATACTATGATGATATGGGACACCATCGCAGACTACTACTATCCGCTTACGAATTCCATCTTTAATACCTGTTAATTTTTCTATATGTAAAAGAAATCTTTCAACATTCAAAATAGAATTGGGATTGATATAGATTGGATCGGGAATATAAATTTCAGGAATGTTAACTCTTTGATCAGTAATTCACTGTTGAGTAAGACTGATTCTGGGAACATATAGAACTGTCGATTCATCGTCAAAGCTATATTGTTTAAAAATTAGAGTATCATTAATTGACTTCAGTTACTTTTCCTTTTGCATTTCGATCAATGTTGGTAATAGTATTTTGCATTCTGGGCACGTTTTTTTTCAATTTTCAATATTCTGTAGATGGAAATTGGAATATTCTTTCATATTGGTAATGTTAATCCCTATAGATGATATAAGAGAATTGATTGTATTAGTGGAGGATGACTTTTCTTCAGATAATAAATTAATAATATCGGAAAGATAGTTATATAATTCTTCATCAGTAACTTTCTGCATTTGGGAATTGATATCAAAAAGCTCTTCGTGCTGTAATTAATTAAAAGAATAATATGCCTAAGTTGTATCAGTATGTTGAATTCTATTATGCAATTCCATATTAAAAGAAACAAGACTGGTAACGATATGGTAAACTACTGTATTGTAGCCTCAATCGAGATAATTTTTTTTCCTCTTTGTTAATTATCAAATACAAGAAATAAAAGCCCTTCAGGTAATGGTTCTTCTTGCTTTGATAATTCTTCCAGCCATTTTTGAAATTGATAGTAACTTCCCGAACTTATAATATGATTATTGATATTAACAATCAATTTCGATCGTGCAATTGAATATTTAATAGCTGAGAGGACAAGTTGAATTTCTGAAACGTATTTTCTGTATTGCGCTCCATATATCGAATCAATTGAAACTGCAGTTTTAAAAAGTTTTTCCTGACCTAAAGTATTAGTATTCTGAGTATTCTGAATCAAGGTTTCAATAAATGCAATAACAACCTTATTATGCCTATTAAGCCATTCACAAGGACTATAAATTACAAGACTCTCTATAGAAAATCTATTACTATCTCAAATCAATGATTCTAAATCATCAAATAATGATGCACGTTTCGCATTTACTATCTCAATAATCTCATTGACACATTTTTGTTGATCAGTAAATCTTGAATTCCACTGTCTAATAAGAATTTCATTATTTTTATATTGTTTATCATATAAATTGTGCATCTTACCCATATCGTCATAAACCTGCTGCAATTGTTTTTTTAACTTTGCTATTTCATTTTTTTGGTCTTCTATATAATTTTGCATTTGTATAATTTGATTATTAAACTCCACTATTGATTGTGATTTTTGTTGATTTTTAATTTGCATAGACTTTAAAAGATTTTTTTGCTTTATTAAGATCAGTAATTAAATCAATATTATCATTCTCAAGTCAGAGTCTTTTATTTTTTTGAATGGAATCTATAAGATGCTGATAAAACTGATTAGTAGCAATAGTTTGATTATAATGTCTTTCACAAATTAAATAAACATTCAAAGAAAGATGATGGTTAACAAGTTCAGGAAAGTAAGTATGAAATTGTAAAAGCTTCTTAGCTGTATTTGCATTTTTGGCATATCTTCATGTTTGTGTTTTTTTAGTTTTGCAAGGTTTCAACCCAATTTCATTATATTTTTCAACTAGATCTGCGAAAATACACTAAAGGTTTCTTGCTTTAGATTTTAGATAAGTAGATACTATAAAAAAATTTATTTATTTTAGTTAATAAAATTTTATTCTTTAATTTACTCTAATTAATAATATATAAAGTGAATACTCAATTTAAGCTCTCATTTACTTTAATAAAATAGACTTAACTATGTATGATTATTTGTGATTATAAAAACTAGACGTCTTGTTCTATCTGTTTTAAAAGTTTTTTATATTGAACAAATATTGTAAAAAATTTTTTAAAATGCAAGTATAAAATGCATATATGCGTCAATCAAATTTCAAGAATCTGCAATAGAATATTCTAGAAACCGTTTCCTTATTTAATATATTCCCTGACTGAAATAGGAGCACAGGGCTTGATCTTCTTTACATTTAGTACTGCTGATTTGCATTAGCTTAAGCTCCATAAGCTTATGCTGTCTAGCGATAATTCTGAAACTTTAGCTAAACACTATCACCAAAATATTATTGATAATCCCCATATCGCAGTCTGGTTTTTCAGCAAGTAATTTGAAATCTTCTTTAATTACATCCTAGTACAACAATGGGATTTGAAGGATTGGTGATATAGGTTCGAATGATAACATTGCAGTAGTGTTCACATCTATGAAATCAGAAAAAGAAGAAATTATCACAATAAATTCAGGACTTGATATGCCTGTTCCTAAGCAACATTCATGTCAAAAGAAAAACAATGAATTAATCGATGACCAGTAAGACTACATCAATTTGGTTAATAAATTGCAAAGACATACCTGATGTAGTCCTATGTATTGCCTTTGTACCAACTGAGAAGGAAAACAGTTTTGTAGATTTGGATACCCCAAGAAAATTGTTGAACGAATATTTATGCAAGATGATAACCATAGGCAACTGGAGTTTGTAACAAAAAGAAACGATCAATATATCAACACATATAGCCAGCTTTAATTACAGGGTTGGCGAGCCAATGTAGACTTAAAGCTGATCCTAAGAATACATGCTGCATTGCAATACATTGCGAAGTACGCAAGCAAGACAGAATTACAATCTGAAGCCTTTTCAGACATATTGAATCGAATCCTTGGTGAAAGTTAGCTGGAAAATCTAATACTTGCTCCAGTCCAAAAGTTTTTATTACACAGTGTTGTAGAGTAGGATATCTCTGCCCAAAAAACCTGTCATATTCTTTTCGGCCTTCTTCTTTATCATTTAAGTCGGTAATTTGTCTTCTTGAATCTTAACAAAGAAGCACTGAGATAGATTCGTGGTATTAGGAAAAGTGAAGAATCTTTTATAGTTAATAATTCAGGATGAATAAAGAAGTTACTTTTGAAGACATATTGGGATCGATCTGCTGAACTTGAAGACTTTACACTATACCAAATCTATTTGACACACAAGTTAGCTAAAAATCAATGGAAAGTGTGTTAACAAGAAAACATTGTACATATACTTTCACGCCTATCACCAATATGTGAAGGTCCTCAATGGAAGGAGTACTGTTATGTAAAAGTTCTTCTTCATATTCGCCACTGAGATCTTTAACAATTTATAGCAATTATCTTGAAGAGACTAACTCTGACCCAATCGATCTACTTGGACCACCTGTAGAAGATATAGAAAGTGAAGTAAATGATGAAGATAAAGATGAACCAATTGATGATGATGATAAGCAGGATGAATTTCAAGCTGAATGGATGTTTCTTGCAGATATAGGCCCAAAACTAAGTTTTGATTATTCCTCAAATCTAGGTTCTTAAGACATGGATCAGAACCATAATTGGATTAATGATCCAAGGTAAGGATATAGGACCTGAACAATATTATAAGAACTTATATTTGATTTTTGGTATCAAATTCTTTTTTTTAAAAAAATGTTATATTTAAAAAAGGTGTATAAGGTTTGAAACTTATATTTGACGATGATTATTGATCTTTAAACTCGTATTTGATATTTAGGATAATTTAAGATAATGATCGATATGAGGGATTTGAAATTTTGATAGCAGAACTGGTTTTCAGATCTACCTTATATATAATAGTTTGTATTTCTGCAACTTTAGAATGTAAACTTTTATAGAACACAAATTCTACTTTATTACTTTTTGGAACACAACACTAACCTTTTGTTTTTTAGCAAAAAAATTTATTTGTAACAATTTTTTTTTGATATAAATAAATGGTTAAGCATACAAAAGAGTGACTTTTAGAACACCCTAATATAACTTCAGTATCTAATGATGGCTTGATGGCATTTTGCAAATGTGGTCAAAATATTAAACTCAGATATCCATATAATGATGATTACGTGAAAAGACATATAAAAAATGGTAGTTGTAAATGGATTTCACAAAATCGAGAAATCACCTATTTATTTCAGTTTGCTGAATCCAGAAATACGTTATTCAAAAAGCGTTTTGCATGTATTGGTTTATGTGAACAAATTCACTGCACATATACTTAACATATTCAACTTACTACTACATATGGTGGTTATTCTCCACATCATTTATTAGCAAAGCAGTTGTTTTCTGAAAAATTTCCAGAAAAAGTTGATTATAGCAAATTAAATCAATCAGAATTGATTTACTTCATAAAGAAGTAATACGAAAGTCAAAGTGGCATATTGAAAGAGAAACAGTTCGTAATACTAAGTGTGAAATTTATACATCAAACATTTCAGAAATATGTAGTGAATGTGTCAATATTAATAATGATCAAGTATTTTGGGTAAGTAAATTTATATAACTACTTCTTAATTACTATTTATTTATCTAATCTTTTAAATTTTAGAATGCTTTAAACAAAAAACCCATCAAACCATCCAATATAAAGCATACTCCAAAAATAATATTAAATGAAAATCCAATTTCAAAATTTCTTTTTAATAAAGATATTTCCATATTAATGGAAATACTTGGGACTCAAAATTCAGAATGTCAAGAATCTTTTTGGTTTAAATTAGGAGAATTGGGAGAATATGAAGCATTTAAAAAGAAAGCTGTATTTGAGGGATTGTGTGAAGTTATGGTTAAAGCTGCTGAATGTCAAGAAGCGGGAAAAGGACTTCAAAATCTTACATATTCTGAAAAAATTCAGATTCTATAGCCGTTTTATCATCATTAAATACTTAAGCTCATAATACTTTTTAATAAGATTTAGTTAGACGAACTATTCAAAATGTTAGGTGAGTAAATAATATTTAATTACTATTTAAAATATTTTAAATGAATAATCTTTTAATATTAGATTACTTCGTCGAAAATCTGAAGAATCTCTTCATAATACAAGCTTGTGTTTTAAGAATGTTGTTTGAATCAAAAGGCTAATGGACTCACTTAAATATAATGGGCCAGTTATCGCAATATCAGATAATACCAAATTGAAAGAATGACTTGAATATTCATCCTTACTTAGCTGTATTATTGGTTCTACATTACTATTATCTCAAACTTATGTTACATCACATGATGATATTTATACTATCATTGATCAAATTAAAGAGAATAATGCTATTGCAATACAAGTTCACGTTTATCTTTTGCAAGTATATAAAATTTTTTTTATTTTTTTTTTTATTTAAAAAAATTAATATTAATTTTTAATATAATTAGATACTACTTCCAAAATTTTCTCCAATTGTGATTGCATTACTACCAAACAAAAATCGAGAAAATACTAGCTTTATTTTTGAAATACATGAGAATTTATTAAAAATAGCTGCCTAATTAAAAATTTCTATCTTAGGGTTTGGTGCTGATAGAGTAATATCAGAATTTAATGCACAAAAAAAACTTATGGAAATAAATACAGAAGATAGAATTCGATTTGATGATGACTTATATAGTAAGTAATATTATTTAAATTTAAATAATTATTTAATATTTACAGTATATTTAATTTAATTAATTTAATTTATTTAATTATTATAGATATACATTTTAATGCTCCTATTTATTCTAATGTTGGACCAATTATTCATATTTCTAATCCATTACATGCTAGAAAAGATGCTCAAAATGCAATTTTTTCAGGAGCAAGATTATTAACATTAGGTCATTGTACAGTACGATATAATTAAATTTTAGAATTAAGTAAAAACCTGATAGTATTTTATATTCTCAGGATGTATTAAATGTTGATTGTCAAGATAATGGTGCAGTATTTCATCTTTTTTGTTCTTCATTTTTAGATCAAATCTTTGATAAGAATACTTCTTTAGACAAATTAAAACAAGGAATATTCGTATACCTTTTTATTATCAGTACGTTTATTTTTTATAATATTATTAATATAAAGATTTGTTTTAATTATTTTATTCTTTTTTTTAAATAGGAAAATTAATTGATGCTTTTCAAAATCGGGAAATTTCATCTCTTGAACGATGTAGAATGGTTATGCTTAGTTATTTTTTTTACACTATTAGAAATATTATATTCAACATATTTTATCAATATATCCTAATCTTATAAGTCTTTAAAAAAACCTTCCCGCATCTAAAACATTTAATATTTTAATAAGTTTGGCAGAATTTATGATAAGGATTATTATAATAATATCATAATAATTATCTTTTTATAATTAATAAAAATTTAAACTTTTTTTTTATTTAGATTTTATTAGTTATAACATATTGAGATTACTATTCAGCTTTTTTATTTACTTCTTGGATGTATGGTTCTGAAGGATATGAACATTTTTTTGGACTTGCAAGACAACTTATTTTCGATTTTACATTTAATAATTTGGTTTCTTTAGTATCTAAAATTTCATATTTAAATAAAGCTTATTCTTCTAATTGTTTAAAATTAGATCATGAAAAAACAAGTGAGTTAATATGTATTTTTAATTTAATTTAATTCAAATTTTAAAATATTTATTAATAAAATATTTAATTTTAGGATATATTAATTATTATATGCATTATATTTCTGCTAAAGATTTGAAACAATTAAAAAAATATCCTGATGATGATCATATTAAAGGTATTATTCACAAAGCATATAAACAAGCAACAGCATTGGCTAAAGATATTCTTGGTATGATTATTTCTGATAATATAGCATTTCAACCAGAGATATTTACAAGTAGAACTGATGATGATTATATTGAAGAAGAAATCAAAAACCCTTCAAAAAATTTATTGATTGATATCCTGAAGAATTTGAAAATACAAATAATCTTTATATTAGTTTTGCAGCTAAAGAAATTAAAAAACGGGAAAAATTAAATTTTTCTGATAATTCTAATGATGATTTTATTGAAGCATATAATAGTTTATCTATGTTATTGAATTCAAATTATACATTTAGTTATAATTCTGAATTTATGATTGGAATTGTTAATAATCAATAGGATTTATTAGTTTTAATTAAACAAAGATGAAATCATGAAGCATATACTAATCAAAAGATGGAAAAATATATAAGAGAAATACAATCTTAAGGAAATCATGTAGATCATAATTTTACCAACAGTATGGTATCTTATTTAACATCAAACGAGCTGAAATTTCAAGGCATAATTGTTGAATTACTCGACTTTGTTTAGAAACTTTAATTCAAAATATACATGCTCCAAGTAAGTTATTAAAAGTTTTAAATTATTTATTTATTTATTTTTATATTATTTAATTTATTTATACATTAACATTAATTTATTAGGATTGCCTGAAATTTCAATTGCTAATATTAGTAAACTTCATCCTATTAATTCTAGTGGATTTGGTATAGCTTATATTAAAAATACTATTTGTATTATTCAAATTCTTGCTCTTTATTTTAAAAATTCAAATTATTGTTATCTTACGATACTAATGACTGAAAATTAGTATTAACGCAAGATTAACAAGGGATTTAGCTTTAAGACTTT